ACTCATCAAAGAAGCTTCTTTTTGTAACTGATGGAGACTATTACAGAGACCTACAACTAATCAAAATGCAGAGAACAGGTGACGGTGGGCACCTAAGCACAGCTGATGGATCTACACTGCAGCCCCTGCACCGACGGCTCAGGGAACACCTTGGAAGACGGGGTGGAAGAATTGTAAGAACCAAAGGACCAGGACCCCTGCTGCTTGATAGCATCTTCTAGGCACGATAGGGAAGTTGCACCCATGAAATCTCCACAATACCAGTTGACATGCCAATATAGATGGAGAAAATGTCACAGGGTCCCACCTCTAGATGAAGAGCTGCAGCCAATCAACAGATGCTGAGGGAGGGGAATCAGTTTTCTCCAGGGACAAGTCCCTTGATAGGTTATCCAATCCCAAATGGTCAGCCCTAAACACATGTCCACATGAGCACCATTTAATAAATTCAATGCAGTATATATATATACATATATATTTATAAATGTATACATGCATATGTAATGATAATAATAATGGAAGAGGACAAGAAATTGAGAAAGAATGGGGGGATATGGGAAGATCTGGGGGAGGAATACAAGAGATGGAAATAATGCAAATACAATACTCATGTATGAAATTCTCAAAAAGTAGAAAAAAAATACAAAGAAAAGTTTGTTAGGTGAGAGTAGAACACAGGCAACGTGAAGGAAAAAAGGAGATAATGGGGAGGGAGTGTGGGAGACAGGCTTGAGCCTAGGGTGAAAGTCTTATTGACAGGCATATGGCAGGCCCGAGGCAACAGCTGGACCACTGGAGCCACAAGGAATGCCTTGTGACATTTGCTCCCATTGGCAGATCATGAGACTGATGCCTAGAGCTCGCCACTCCCTAATCACCACCCTTGGAATCCAAAATTGCAACACTTAGATATTGCAACAGTCAGGGTCAGGTGGTTTCCAGGAATCCAGGCTCTGTAATCTGAAACCCAGTATGCTAATGAGGCATCCTACCTGCTATTCTGTGATAGGATGTTAAGTCTGTTATGCTAATAGGATGCTAAGTCTGTTATGCTAATAAGGTATCCTACTTGCTGTACTGTGATTGGACCACTACCCTTATATAAGCTTGTGCCTTCCTGCAATGAAGCAGACCTGTGTCACTGATCCTACTTGCTGTACTGTGACTGGACCACTACCCCTATATAAGCTTGTGCCTTCCTGCAATAAACCAGATCTGTGTCACTGAACCTAGTCTCCTGTGTCTGAATGTTGCTCCTCCGACACAGTCTCCTCACCAGCCCTGGGGCCTGGGACTGGGTAGAAGCTGCAACCACAGGAGGCAGCATAGGGCAAGCAGAAGAGCTGCCTCAGTACCAGGTGAGCAGAAGAGTGGCCTCAATCCAGGCAGGCAGAAGAGCAGCCTCAGCCCAGGGTGAGTGGAGGAGCGGCCTCAATGCCCATGAGAACAAAGGAGCGGCTGCCACTGGCAGTGACCCCAAGGGACGTTTAGGTGGGGAGAGGGATGGGAGGGGGCAGAGGAGGGGGTTGAGAGGATAGACTGCCACTAAGATGCTTAAAAAGCCACATGGAAACCTACTATTTTGCAAGCTTACAAGCTTCCTAAAGATATCCATATGTTCATCTAAAAGAGTTTAGTTGCAGTTACTCTACACAGGGGATTGTGCTCATCTCAGAAGCCATAGGCTGCCAAATAAAAAGCCCAGTGCCACTTGTGGGATGCCTCCCCTCAAGTAGTTGGTGAGAGGTGTCCCGGAGACCATCAAAACAATATAAACGATTATCATTGTTCTTGGTTGCCCACAAGAACTTGATAAGACCCTATTGCAGAAGATCTCACACACATGGTCATATAAAACATGAGAAATCAAGTTGACACTGACCAGGAAGCATCCTGCCTGATGGCTAACTTTCATGTTCCAGAAGGTGCCATGTCATGTAAGCTGTTAGGAGGAAAAAATCATCAATAGTCTTACCCAGCTGTGAACTCTGTGAGCTACGATAATGACTGGCATGAGGAGATATGCCCATGGGTCCAGTAGTGGTACAAATGTTATGGGGGTAACCAACTTCTTTTGGGTGGGGGATGATTTAAAGACTGATCCACAGGAGGAAACACATGCCTGGTTCTGTTAATCTGGCCCAGAACTCATGGTTGGAAAACTCACACGCCCTGTAGATGAACCTACTACTATTATTACGCTAAATGAACATAGTATCGAATGCCCCTCTAAATTTGTATCTCTCTACTGATAGATTAGTGCAGTTCTCAGACTTCATCAGAGAAGTTTCTTTGTGCAGTGGATGGTGGTTAACACAGAAACTCACAACTAGTCGAAGTGCAAAGAATAAGTATCAGTGGTGTGCTCAGCCACAGATGGGATGTAGATATCACACCCCCCTCCCCGAGGCTCAGGGGCCATCCCGGAAGAGGGGTGTATCAGAAAGAGTGGAAGAGCTAGGGGTTGGGGAAGACCTGAGTGGAACAATGCTTTCTGGCCATGAGAAGATCTCTGCACTCATGAACCCACAGCAGCTGTGGCTGCCTACACAAGAGCTGCACAAGATCAAGCCAGTCAACTTCCCACAGAGTGGGAAGGGGTTCATGAATTCCCACCCCTAACTGAGGACCTATGCACACTTGATTACTTCTAGGGGAGGGAGAGTCAAGGGTGTTGTTACGGTTAGGTCAACCTACACAGGTAAGATGGCCCCATATTCAGGAGTACATAGCATAAATTAGAGTCAATAACTTATTAGTAAAAAAGAAGAGATAAAGTTAGGGGGGTAAGGAGGTGGGGGTGGATCTGGGAGGAACTTGGGGGAAGAGTGGAGGTGAATATGATCAAAGTATATTGCATGAAATTCTCAAATAATAATCTTTTTTAAAATGGTTGGTGGAAATTTCTAATTTTTTTTTTTAATATTCTGTAGGGCTAGGCACATAGCTCAATGGTAGAGTACTTGCCTAATCCATGGAAGGTCCTTGGTTCAATTCCCCTGCAGCATGTGCATGTGTGTGCGCGTGCACACACACACACACACACACACACACACACAATTTCTTTGGTAAATCAATAATTTATATCCTTTTTCTATTTTAAAAATATTTTAGTTAAGCTGATCATGGTGGCACATGCCTTTAATCCCAGAAATCAGGAGGCAGAGACAGGTGGTCTACATAGTGAGTTCCAGGCCAGCTGTGGGTACAGGGAGACCCTGTTTCCAAAAATCAAAATCAACAAAAATGTTTTTGTTATTGATTGACAGAGATTTTTGATTTTAATTGTTTAAAATTTATTTTATTTATTTTTGGTCATTTTGAGACAGGGTCTTCCTGTAGCCCCAGCTGGTCTGGCATTCACTATGTAGACCAGGATAGCCTCAATCTCACAGAGATCCACCTGCCACTGCCTCCTGAGTGCTGGGACTAAAGGCCTGTGCCACCATGCCCGGCTGACAGAAATTTTTTAAACATTCAACTGGATGTAGCTCAGTGGTAGAGTGCCTGCCTATCATGTTCAAGGCCCTGGACTGATCCTTAGCACCCCAAAGGGGAAAAAGAAATCATGTTTATATTTTAGGTATTAGCAATTTTCACATATATTGTAAATATTTAGTTGTGACTTTCCATATTATGCATTACCTTAATGCATCCATCTTTATTACTTCCTAATTTTTACATTCAAGAATAGAAATTATCTTTCTGTAGTGTCTGTGAAGCATTATTATAGCCTTCTTTTTAGCATTTAAATTTTAATTCAACTGTAATTCGTGTGGATGTTGTGAGTTAGGGAATATTCACACTGCCATGAGGTGAACATTCAATTTAGGCTTTCTTTCGTGCAGTGGTATTTGTACCTGAAATGGAAAAGCACAACTTTGAAGATCTTTTCTCACTGTGTTCTAAAGAGTCAAAAGAGTGGATGTTCACAGACTCTCTGGCCCTGTGTGACCTCTCAGGGCATCTTTTTGGAGGGCATTGGTGCCTGCATCACTGACCCTTTCCCTGTATCACAAATCCTCTTTTTCACCCCCAGTTCAGCTCTGTTTCTCATGTCTCTCCACTTCCTCTGCCATCTTTTATTGTTAACCACGTCAGGTATTTTTGAATCTGGTTGATTCAAAATATTACTTCCTAGTCTCTATATTTTTTCAATTGTTTTGGAACAAATTTTTGTTTTACTTAACTGAATTCAATACAGGTATAAAACGTGTGCTAAGCATAACATCAGGGGATTTTAAACATTTACAGTGACGGTTCTTTGCTTTTTTATCACATAAAGAATTTTAGAACATTAAAAATATTTTCAGGAAAGAGGAAAAAAATCCATTTTCTAGTCATTTCACTTGTATACATTTTCTAGCATTTATCACCACAAGATAAAGTCCTGCATTCTGCTGTTCCCTTAAGAACATTTAGCTGTTATGTCTACTGGTCCTGTCAGAGACTGAGTGGACAGAAGACGGGCTGTATCTGAATTTGGGTCTTTGTTGAAAAAGGGTGGCTCTGGTGACTTACATTTCAGTTCCTTTTCTCTTCAGTGGGGTGATAAAATCGTCCTCTCCAATTGTTTTAAAAAATATTTTATGCATTAATTTTATTGTACAAGTGTATTGCTTGCATGTATGAAAGTGCATCCATGTTGTGCAATGCCTATGGAAGTCAGAAGAGGTCGTCAGATTGGAACTGGAGTTACAGTTGTTAGCTGCCTTGTGGGTGCTAGGAAACGAACCCCAGGCCTCTGCAGGAGCTCTTAACCACTGAGTTTTCTCTCCAGCCCCCTTCAATTGTTTTATGAAGATTAAAATGTGATAAGAAAACAGGCTCATAGACACACCTGTTTTGGCAAAGGAGGGCATCAAATGGGTCGGTTGCTGAGTAGCTATGGGTGTGTTTTCTCCTACAGTAAAAAGTAAGAGGGAGAGGCACGTGGTTCAGCTCGCAGGGGGTGGGATCTGCCAGTCTTGCTGTAGTTCCTTTAGAAAGAAGAACTCAGAGTTACCACGAAGAAACAAATCCCAAAGATGAGATGTAAAATTTTATCTGGCTTCCTTCTGATTTTCAGCCTGTCCACAACAGGTAAGTGAGCGTGGGGATCCTCTGTGGAACTTCTTTGGAGACCCTGAAATACGAACCAGAGAAACCATCTTACTATTTACAGGGGAAGCCTCTGAAGACAGTAGGATCATCTGGGGTGCCTTGGATCATAACATCAACCTGGACATCCCTGACTTTCAACTGACTGATGTTATTGATGAAATACGATGGGAAAAAGGAAAAAGCATGATTGCGAATTTCAAAAAAGAAACATCAACTTCTTCTCACAACACAACCTATGAGGTATTAAGGAACGGAACCCTGAGAATTAAACAGCTGAGGAGAGACGATAACGATACTTACGATGTAATCGTCTACGATACCAATGGAACAAGTATGCTGCACAAATCATTTGAGCTGAGGATTCTAGGTAAGTCTTCACTTTTTAACAGGGCAGCAGAGAAAAAGAGATGGACATCCTAGGTGGGTGCTGAAGCGGTGAACAAGGTGTGGGGCTGGGAAAGAGAGGCTGCCTAGCCCAACACTAAGCCAGGATGCCCGGAAGGAGTGAAAAGACAGGACATGAGCTTAAGGACAGACAGGCTTTGTTTCTGACATGCCCAGCACCATCATTGTCAGGTTAGAAAGTGATTCTGCAATGGTGGATCAAATGCACGAGGTGTGGCTTTGCCTCTGTATGTGCTAAGAGGACAGGAGCTTGGGAAGACCAGCAGGAAAGCTTCTGCTGCAACGCAAATAAGGCCAGGTCGCTGCCGTGAGTGGTCTTAGCCTTGATTGCATCAAGAACTAGTAAGAGATCTGTAAGAGGTTAAGGATGCCCAGGCTTCAGTATAGAATCTTTTGGCACAGGGTCTGGGCGCCAGTGCATTCTAGAGCAGTCACCATTAGTAAGCACTGGCCTGGACTAAAGGGTGACTGGGAGATAAGGAGGAATGTGCACAAGGAGGTCATGGGGTGTGAGGAGAAAGTAAGGTAGCTTGGGTGAATGAGGAAGTTTCAAGTCCAGGGACAACTGGGCAGTGAGTGATAAGAAGTGGATGAGGAAGCCTGCCCTTGACTTGAGAGGAAGGTGAGAAGCCCAGCACAGCATAGAGTGATTCAGGGAGTTCACCAACATTCTGAGATTCACACAGGAAATGCCACCAGAGACAGGGCCCTTCCTCCCACCTACACCCCCACCACCCCGTCTGTGTCCTCAGCACCTGGGCCTAACAGCAGCTCCTATCCCACAGTCCCAAACAATGGCAGCTCCTCTGCGTATGACCCATTTCCAGACTCTAGTCCTGCAACCTTGTCTAGAGAAAACTTTCCAGAAATGGGGTGGGAATGGCCACTGGTCATGGGCACTGAGAATGGCCAGTGTCATGACTGCAGCCAGTGTGTTTGGGGTCCTGTTGTGACCATGAGCTCACATACAGAGGTTCACATGGGTGCTACCACATCATGTCACATTTGATAATGACTACTGGCAAGATGTCAGGGCTTTGTTTACGTGGCTTTATTTAATGTTCCCAGCAATCCAGTAAGAACTAGTAAGCTAGTACTTACTATCTCCTTAGTATCTAGAAGGAAACAGAGGCCCAGTCAAAAGTGACCTGTCATTGTTTGACAAGAACAAAGTCAAGATTTGTGCACAGGCTTCCTTTGACCAGGATGGTGTCGTTCCTTCCCAAACAGCCTCGCTGCAGTGTAATTCATGTACCACAGTCTGCCCTGGTTATTCACAATCATTTTCTTTACCTGACATGGAAACCCTGTACCCCTTAGCCCAAAGACAGTGGCCTCACTGTTCCATATGCATGTCAATGTCACACAATATCTTGACTCAGTCTGTGCTCCTGTCACTGTCACCTGTCACGTGGCCTTGGAAAATTAATCTCTGCCTTGAGCCCAATTTTCCCAATTTGGTTACATATTCCTTATCTAGCATGTTTGGAACTGGAAGTGTTTCAGACTTTTTTTTTTCTTTTTAAAGATTTTAAAATATTTGCACATATATAACATACATACATAATACATATACACAGATACATATGTGTATATATGCATGCTAAGCCTTGGAGCTGGAACCCAAGTTGAAACATGACATTCATCCATGTGTTCATGTTCAAAGTATACATTGCCTAAGGTAATTTTTTGCAGCATTTTAAATAATGCTGTGTAGGAAACAAAGTCTCAGGTGTAGAATTTTCCACTTGTGGAATTGCAGTGGTGATCAAAAAGTTTTAGATTTTAGAGTATTTTAGATTTTTGGATTAGGATTACTTAGCCTGTTGTAACTTCAATAGGTATTCAATGAAGGGTGTTACGAAGCATGTGAAGGTACCCTGGAGTCCTATGACACGGTACCTGGCAACGTACCACCTCCTGTTCTCCTCACATCCCCCTATTTCTCCATGCCTCTCACCCCAACTGGCTAGGTTCCACCTCCCTTCATGAGGCATGGGCTGAAGGGGCCAGGCAAGATCCCCAGACACCACTGGAGGAGTTACTCGTACCTGCCCAGGATTAAGGAGTCCAGTCTAGAAGCAGCCCTTAGCAGTTCATTTCAGAAAGCCATTTTACAGGGAGAACATCTGCAAACAATACAGGTTTTTTTGTCACTGTGTTATTTATGAGTAAAATATTGGAGTGAATTTAAAAGTTAGAAATTTAGTAACTAAATGAAGAACTCTTCAGTTCAAAAGATGGTGCCATTAAAAAATAAAAAAATCCATGGGCTAAGAATGTAGTCCACTGGTAGAGTACTTGCCTAGACCCTGGGCTTAATCCTCAGCACTGCCCAAAAAAGACATCACATAATCCAATTTTAATTTTAAAATGTTATATTATTGATACATGTATTTTTGCATAGAAAATATCTGATAAAGTTATACATCAAGCTATCAATAACTGTTGACCGCAAGTAGCAGAATTGTAGGTGATCCCTGATCTGATTAAAATTCTTTTTATATTTGATCTGATCTTTTTTTTTTTTTTACAATGATTGGATGTTTGAGAAAATAATTTTTTTTACCATTCTAGAAAGACAAGTTGCCACTGCAAGGCAGCCCCTAGACGGCTGCTGTGTTAGATGTCACAGTTTCAACGATTCCTTCATTCTGAGTAGCACAGACTCTCAGGATGGAAAGCAAACTTAATTTCTGCATGCTTGTATGGAAATGGAATGAAACTGGGAAGGCCCGTGGGGAAATTACTGTGGTCTTTAAAAGTCCAGAGAAGAAGGAAATTGGAAAAATTCTATCAATCTGAGTAAAAAATGGAGAGACACCAGAAGAAAGAGAAAGATTTGGGGGAAAGAGAATAAAGGATGGAAAAAGTAGAGAGACGGGGCCTCCACAGAGAAGTGGAGAGCTGGGCTCTGGGCCTGACCTAACTAACACCAAGGCTGGGCTGCTTTCTCCTTGAATGCAGCCTTGAAATGTCATTGCATTCGAACCAGTGGGGTTTGCATGCTGAACGTTAAGAACCACATCTGGGTGGCTTGTCCTGGGCTCAGCCACAGGTTGTCTGGTTTCAGACAGGTGAGGAGTATCTTTCCTATTTCTTAAAGACTAGGTCCAGTGAGGCCAGAGGACAGCCCAGCAGCCTGGGATGGACACTGCGGAGCCTTTCCTGGCTTTTAGCTGATACCTTTTCTGAATAGAGCTTTTAGCTCCTTAGAGACCCCTGGGTGGGCCCATCCCTGTGATCCCAGGGCCATGGTGGGGGTACAGGATAAATAGCCAAGGCTACAGGGCTCTCAGCATTCCTCCAACATGGGGCTTCTGGATAAGCTTGTACCTACAGTCCTGAACATGGTCTTAGAAGCCCTCTGAGGGTTCTTCTGACTAGCCATCTTTTGATGGGTGCCCTAAGGTCAGGCATTGATGCTCCCAGAGCCTTGGACATTTCATGTGCCAAAGGAAAGAAAAACATGAGCTTTTCTGTTTCTTAAAGTTAAATGATGTCAGGGCTAGAGAGATAGTTCAGCAGTTAAAAGCACTGACTGCTCTTTCAGAGGATCCAGGTTCAATTCCCAGCACCCACATAGCAGCTAAAAACTGACTGTAGCTCCAGCTCCAGGGGATCCAACACCCTCTTCTGACCTCCATGGGCATTGCATGACATGTGTCCACCTACCTACATGTAGGCATTACACTCATACACAAAAAATAAAAATAATAAATAAAATATTAAAAAAGAGTTAAATAACGTCATGTATGTGAAAAAATTTTAAGGCACAAGCAAGCATATAAACATCAGATACTGCTAAACTATGCTTATTGACTTTACCAGAAATGAGTTTGTTCAGGATGTTCTATATCAAAAAAATGAAATTATTTTCAAAATAATTTAAAAATAATGTAGCTAACATACTTGAAACCCTGGGTTAAATCTTCAGCACTGCATAAAAACCTGGCCTGGTGACACATACCTATAATTCCAGCACTTGTGAGGTAGAGGCAAGAGAATCAGAAGTTCAAGGCCATCCTCAGCTAATAGTGACTTTGAGGCCAGCCTGAGCTACATTAAGACCCTGTCTTTAAAAAAAAATGCTTGGGACCTTTGAAATTATTTCCTGGTCCCAAAGCAATTCAATTTTAATAGGTATATTTATTAAAGTAAAAACACAGTCACTGGGCATGGGGACATAGCTTTGCAACTCCAACACTTGGAAGGCTGAGGCAGAAAGGTTAAAACTTCTAGTCCAGACTAGTCTCCATAGTGAGATCTGTCAAAAACAAAAATCCAAAAATTGCCTAATAATAATTGGCTCTTTCTTTTAGAGAAGGTTTCAGAGCCAAAGATCTCCTGGGAGTGCAGCAATACAACTCTGACCTGTGAGGTCATGAAAGGAACTGACTTTGAACTAAAGCTGTGTCAAGAGAAATGTCTCAACAGAAGCCATCAGCGCATCATCAGTCACAAATGGAAAAACCTGGATGCTCCATTCAGGTGCACAGCTAGCAACAGGGTCAGCGAGAAATCCATCACAGTGGATGTCAGCTGTTCAGGTGCGTGGTGGGAAGCGGTAAGGGTGGCCCAGGTTTACAGGCCAAGGGCATGGTGGCAGGCATCACTTCCACTGCAGGGCATACGTGGCTGGGCTACGAGGACAGTCTGGCTTAGGATGAAGAGTAAAAGGTGCTTTTTCCTCCCAGAATCCTTGAGGAGAACTGGGGCTCCCTGGGTACTCATCTTGGCAGCCCTCTCACAGGCAATAAAGAGCACCCCTCTCCAGGGGCAGGGGAAGGGGTTGTGGAGTTGATGAAGGAGAAGTTTCCAGAAGGGAATTTGACTTGTACAGGTCCCTCTGCTGGCTGGTGATTGGGATTCTGATCCTTCTAAATTTTCCTTTCTGGGGGTGGGATCTGTGCTTAGCATCTGCTATGAAGCGAAGGCTAGAAAGCCTGTGGGAGGCAGGACAGGGAAAAGGAGAACTGGGGACCAGAGAGACACACACTCTCTGCAACTCAGAGGACAGCTCAGCACTGCACTGGCTCCAGTCTGAACTCCAATGGCCTAATTGAGCCCCACAGCCTGGGTTTGCCATGACCTCCAGCAGGAGCTTGTTCTTTTTTTGTTTTGCTTTGCTTTTCTGTGACAGAGTCTTTCTTTGTAGCCTATGCTGGCTTCTACCTTACAGCAATCCTCCTGCCTCAGCCTCCTGCTGGGATTACAGGTGTCCATCACCACACCCAGCCCCCAGCAGTAGTTTTTTGAGAAGTCTGCTATGCTGCTTAAGTTTGGAAGTTTCAGTCTATCCAAATTTAGTGGAGTGACCTTGGCAGAGCTCCTTCCCCTCCCTGGGCTTCAGCCTCCTCGTCCACAAAGAAAACCATGAGAGTGTCAGATGCGAAGGCACTTGGACCCACTCCCCAGCTCATTCATGCTGGCCATTGAGCTGCCTCACAACATGGCAGCTAGGATCGCAGAGCAACCTGAGAGAGCAAGCAAGAATCAGTGCCCCAGACACCTTCACAACTTAATCTCAGGAAGCCTGTCCCATCGCTTCTGTGAGTCACTCATTTGTGTGTTCAGCCTACACTTGCTCATAGGGATCACACAGGGGGAAACACCCAGAGATGGGGGGTGGGCACTGAAGACATCCAAGAATCTGCCAGTCACAGACTCAGCATTTCCTCACCCCCTAGATTCACAGGCAGCCTCCCCCAACCTTTATCCCCCATCACAAAGGCCTGCGGAGCAAGGCTATCCCACCTCTTTTCTCTTTCAGGAGTTCTTAACATTAGAAACACCAGACTTAGCCAACCCACTAACAAAAACCAGTTCCATATATTATACATTTATGCTGAAAATTATTCATTGTTTATTTGAAATTCAAATTTAACTGGCTGTCTTGTATTTTATCTGGCAATCTCACTCTTCATATTTATTGTAACTAGATCCCAGCAGAATAAAAATGTGTGTTTATCAAGGAGGGAGAGCCCTGAGAGGAGAGAAGGCAAGGTTTGAGGGTGGAACCATGTATGTTTCTTAATCTGCAGTTCAGAACAAGAATTGGCCCAGGGGATAGCTGCTAAAGAGAAAGAAAAATTCCTGGGGGGAAATTTGGATACTCCATTCTAAAAGGCCGAGACCTAATGGTTGGCTCAGATAAAGTGAGCATGTACTTAAAAATCCTAGGAGGAGGGACGCATGGGAGCGAGGGATGGTTGGAATGAGGCTCTGTGAGGACTCGTGACAAAGCCACAGCTGCTAGGATGTCCCCACTAACAACAATACCAGGTGCCTAGGTTACTGAGCTGGATAAACATGAGACCAGGCTGCGGAAGGCTTGCCTGTTTCCCCAGAATGCCCTGGGAAAGGGTGGGTGACCTACCCAAGGACTCTGAGAGAGGACATACTAACAGCTTGGCTTGGACAGGCTGTCTTACCCACCCTGTTTACACCTGGGGAGTCCTCAGATGGGGAAACTGACTCGGGCATCCTAGGCAAGTCAGCTGTGCCTGAAGGACCCCAAATCTATCTTTGGAGCAGCTTTAGGGCTTGCTAAGGGATGCCCCTTCACAGGTGGTCCTTAGAGAGGTGGCTCAGTGGGCAGATGAGGACTTGGCAGGAGAGAAGCTGGAGGAAAGCAGCCCCTGCTGCGTCATCAGTGAGGTTGGAACATCTGCCCAGCTTGCTTGGCCTCTGGGGCCCATCTAGGGTTTCATGTATAAGTCTCTTCATTGGACTGGCTGGCTGGAAACATGTTTTTGTGATGCTGGCCTGAGCTCCCATTTGTTCTCCCTACATGGCAGCCCTCTGACCCCCAGCTCCAGCTGCTTTCTCTAACTGCTATTGACTCACAGAGGGCAGATGGCCCGGCCCCCGTCCTGGGAAATAGCTACCAGAGCAGAGAGTAGCGGGTAAGAGCAAGACCTCACATCTGAGTGCTGGTTTACAGTTTACAAAGCACTTTCATAACCATTATCTGATCTATGATGTAAGTCACATTGTTTCCATTTTACAAAGAAGGAAACGGGCACAGAGAGGTGGAGTATCTTACCAAAGGTCACACAGCTCTTGTCTGGAAGAGTTAAAGACATTGCCCTTAGCAAAGAAGTCATTGTTTTGCTCATGGTTATTTCCTCACTGTTACAGAACCAATGGTTCAGGCCATTGCTGTTACTAACCTGCTGAGTCTCTGAGTTGCTTTCCTGGGTCCAGGGAGAGTCTAGGAGGAAAAACAGCAGAACACTGAGACTTGGGACTGCTTAACTTGGGGAGAAATCCTGTGTGGCATCAGGCAGCTCATCCTCCCTCTCTGGGCCTTATCTTTGAAACCAGAAGTTGAATGGTCTCAGTTCTGTGATTTTGAGATGCTTTCCTCCTCCTCAATGTCAAGGTGGCGGGTGGGGGATTGGAGGTGGGAGATGGGGTATGGGCAGGCCACTGGTCCCTGAGAGCTTTCCAGGGGGCTCATCCTGTTCCCTGATTTGTACAGCTCTCCATCCTCCGGAAGTTCAGTCTCGGTGAGGTGGAAAGCCCCAGAGAGCTCTCATCCGTTTGATGTAGGAGACTGGGGCCTGGATCAGAGCAGCAAAAGGGTGCCTCTGTCCTGGACCCCTCTCCTCTCAGCCCTGTCTTTTCTTGCAGTGAAAGGTCTGCACTTCTATTTCATCCTGGGTACCTGTGTAGGTGGCCTCCTCTTGGTGGTCTTTGCGGTACTGCTTATATTCTACGTCTATAAGAAGAAAAAACAGAATAGTAGGAGAAAAGGTAAGCATCCCTTTGCAAAGGGAAGAAGAAGATGGGTGGTCAGAATGGCAAGGCTGGAACTGGAGGTTATGGCTGGCTCTGTTGTGTGCTCAGTTTGATTTTTGTATGACAGTTCTCAGGGGTGACAAGGGACCTTTGGGAGGTGGTAGGAAGATGGTACACCTTCCTGGAATCCACCGTCTGAGGTTACCTTGGTAAAAGGCTGCCATAGGGATCATTGAATGAGCCACATATGTCCATATGGATAAGAGAGATTCACACCCAAACCTCATGTCTTTGAACAAGTGTCTTGACCTTGGGTAGTCCAAGGTATGTATGTTCAAGACCAAGTTTCTAGGAACATAGGTGAAAGTATTTCCAGACAGGAGGTACTTCATGGGGGCTGGTTAGTGTACAGTACTTGTCTAGTGTGTGTGAGGCTCTGGATTTGATCCCCAGCACTGCAAGAATCAGAGACCAAAACCTGGATGACTGCCTTCCCTTTCCTGACTGGCTGTTCCAGATGGATGGATGCCTTCAGGCTGGAAGTACAGTTTCTTCTGCGCAGACCCATCCCACAACTGTTATTGCTGATCCTCATCAGGGACTTGGCCACCCAAGGAACTGTGTCTAAGTGTCACTGTGGATGTTGTGGTGAAGGGCAGCCTTTGGTTGGATATGCTAGTGGGTGGGCAGGTCCTCTGATTCTGGGGAAATCCAGAGTCACACAGGACTGGGTCCCATCTCTGTGGGTCTGTTCCTAGAGCAGTCCCTGCACTGTCCAATATCAGCAACTTGTAGCACAGCCTAGGGGCAGGGCCTGAACTTCCCTATAGTGGTGTCCTGGGGGGTGGGTGGGGGGGCTGTAACCTTAGAGTTGGCTTCCTTTTTCACACCTCATTGTCAGTGTTACCTCCGGTCCCCCCTTCAGACCACCACCCGCAGCTGTTGTCTCACACTTCCCTGCTCCAGCCTGGGTCTTAGTACATCTCTACACTTAGCACCTGTTTGGGCCTCACTGTTATTCCCATGTTCTCAACTCAGTGGAACTTACAGGCTTGCAGAGTCTTCTGGACACTGTGGCTTCCTTACCTCTGTGTTCTGTTCATACTGTTCCACCCCACCCTGCAGGGCTCTTTCTCACTACCTAGTAGTCATTGAAGGTGGACCTCACATGTCACCCAAGACAAAGCAACCCCAGTCACCACCAGACTGGGAAGAGCAACGTGACAACAGCTTATATTGATAAAGTGGCTTGTCCAGGAACTAATAATCTCCATGTTTTAGAGTCACGCCCACATCCCCCTTTGTGATTTTACAGATAGACATTCTCATAGATATGGAAGTGGAAACTCAGTGAGGCTAGTTTACCCCCTCAGATCCTGCAGCCGGTAGGCTGAAACAGGATTGAGTTGGGGCAGGGAGCCCAGGGTGTGAAAGTTAAGGCAGCCCCACCTTGCTCTTGCACAGTCCTGAGAGCGAATGACACCTCTTTAAATTTGATGCTCATGGGCGATGCTCATGGGCCTGGCTTACCTCACCCTTGGCACTGCCCGGGCTAGTCACCAGAAGACAGACTTAAAAGAAAGAAAAAGTCAATGCATACAAAGGAGTTCCCAGAGCACACATTTAGGCAGTGGCAGACACTGCTGGCATGGCTATGCTGGGGTCCTCCCATGGGTCTGTTCTCAACAGGCAGGTAGTACTGATGGCATCAGTTGTACAGCCTGCCCAACCCAGCCTGAGAGCTCAGCACTGAGCTACACCCCTGTCCCGCTCCCTGATTCTTTTGCACCTTCTGGTGGAGACTGACATAATTTGCAGTTGTGGGTCTGTCCCTTACTGATGACAGTGTTAGTGTCATCAGTGTCACTTAGCCATAGAGGATGTAGTACCTAGAGGATGAGGAGCAAGCACAGGAGGAGCAAGTGACCGAAAGTCACCAACAGATTAGTCAGCAGAGAGCCACCTGAGCTTGCCACTGTGACTGCCTTCTAGTCCACGCTCGGGAAGTGGGATGAGGGTCAAAATCTTCCCCAATGGCCTTCCAAACATGACTTCAGCTACCTCAGATCAACAAAAAAAAATGACATAAAGGACGTGTTCTGCCCTTTCAGTGTCCTTTTCTGTATGTTTAGAGCACATGGGCCACTCAGATGTCAAAACCGATTTGATTGACTTTGAGCCTTCACACAGAAGCTGCCTGGTGCTTGCATTTCCGGTAGCCAGAGCAGGTGGCTTGGGTTGGTATCATCAGCTGCAAGTGATGCTCAGAGGGACTGTGCTTCCTGGATCACATGTCCCTCTACAAGGATGCAGGTGATCATTCATTTACACCAGGGAGAAGCTCCTCCTGCCTCCTTCAGCAGCTACAAGAATCGCCTTGGGCCTGGGGACAGGAATGCCAAGCTTGTAGCCTAGAGGAGATCAGCGGTACCCTCTAGGCCCTTGGCAGCTGAGTGTTCCCACAAATTTCCTGTGGGGTTTTACAATAGTGTACGAAGATCTCCACATTATCAATCTCAGGCCTGTCTTCTTGGACAGAAGTCATAAGAAACAGAAAATCCCAAAGGGTGAGGAAAGGCTCTGTCTCTCCCTCCTAACCCCAAGAGGATGGGTCTTGCTTATGAGTTGCTGAGGAACTAGTTCATTTCCAAGGACCAAAGTGTCCCTTGAGTATGCTCCAATTTCTTTCCAAAATGTGGGCTGCTTGACAGCCACACTGGGCAAAGAGCAGACCTACCCTAGAGGCCCCTCTGTGAGATGTAGCTGTTAATGCCCTTCATGGCTACTCAGACCCCGGGTCACAGTGGGTTCCAACCATGATCACGGGCTGAGCAATCTTGCTGCTTATATCCAGGCAGCACCCAGGCAGAGCTCACAGGTTGAGTGCTCTCTCTGCACTCTGGAGCCTTAGGTACAAAGCCCTCCACCTGCGTGTCCTCTTCCCCAGATTCCTGAGTACTGAAGAGGCCTGAGGTTTCACTGTACCTGTGACTAGCATTTCTCTGTCCCCAGAAACACCCAGAACTCACAGAGGGTGGGAACAGCATCTGCTTCCTGCTCACATCTCTGAAGCAGCTGGCTTGACGCCTATCACATAGACATGTGCAATAGTTACATTGTGGGTCTGGGGAGATAGCTCAGCCAGTGAAGCACTTGCTTTGTAAGCATGAGGATCTGAGTTCCATCCTCAGAACCCATATGGAAAAGGCAGGGTATGGTGGTGGTGCTTCTAATCCCAGCAGTGCTGGGAGAGACAGGTGGATTCCTGGAGCTCTCTGGCTAGCCATCCTAACCACCTCGGTGAGTTGCAGGACAGAAAGACATTATCTCAAAAACAAAAAATGTGGACAGTGCTTGAGGAACATTAGAAGCTGTCCTCTGACCTCCACATGCACACGCACACCTGTGATGCTTGCCTGCATATGCATTAGAGCCTGCCATCCCCATAGTAGCATGCTCACCTGCGTGTGTGCACACACACGTACATGGGCACAGGTTACGTTGCTCCCATATTGCCAGAATGAACTCTCTAGAGGTCTTGCCGTTGCAGATGAAGAGCTGGAGATAAAAGCTCCCCCAAGAGTGAGCAGCAGGGAAAGGGGCCCCCCGAAGCCACACCCAATCCCAGCCGCAGCGCCTCAGAATCCAGCAGCTTCCCAAGTTCCTCCCCCACCCAGCCATCGTCCCCAGGCACCAGACCATCGTCCTTTGCCTCCCAGCCACCGCGTCCAGCACCATCATAAGAAGAGGACTTCTCCATCAGGCACACAAGTTCACCAACAGAAAGGCCCTCCCCTGCCTAGACCGCGAGTTCAAGCAAAACCTCCCTGTGAGGCCTCAGAAGATGCTTTGTCGCCATCCCCTAATTAAAAAGGTAGAAACTGTCCTTTCCAAAAAAAAAAAAAAAAAAAAAAAAAAATCATGTGGGCTTCTCTTCTTGGGGTGCACAGGCCCACTCTTCCATAGAGTGTTTTCTACAAGTAAGACCCAACTGTCCCCCAAGGCATGTAGGGCACAATCAAGGTGGCATCTCTCACCCAGCCACCCAGCCATGTAGTCTGACAACTGGAATCTTTGGCAGCTTTGTAAATCTCTGTTACGTCAGAACAGAAACAATAAGAATATGGTTGCAAGGATGATGGGTCAATGGGCACTAAAATCTTAATCTTTCTCTCAGATCCCCTGCCTACATGATGCACCACATGACCACTGGGCCTGTGTCTTACAGGTAACCCACTGGAGCAGAGGTTCTTGGGCTTCCCAGGTATCCTTGTGGACACAGGCCCACTCACTGCCCTTGAGCAGAATGAAATAAAACTTTTGACTTGCTACAATGTCTGCTTATTGTAGAAAGGAGGCCAGGGTCTGGGACACGAAGCTGCAGAATGGGAAAGAGACTGGCTGGGGTGACAGGGACATCAAATTCGGTTCAAAAGGGGAGCGTGGATACTGGAGGCACTAGGAGCCCATCCAGCAACATGCCTAAGGAAAAGTTAAGAGGCTGCTAGATCAAATCCTAAGTGCTGCGAGTGACCCTCGTGAACCTGTCCCCACTGGCATTCATACCAGCTGCACCTTTGGAGATGTGGGGAGAAATCAACATTTAGTTAAAGCTCTGAACTGATATGCTGGGAGAGGCACCTGCTTTGCAGCATAGATGTCATGCTTGCCGCCCTGTCCGCCCCCTTCTCCTTGGCTTTTTTAGGTACTCACTGGCAGGAAACTCCGAGGGTAAACCACAAAAACTAAGTATGCTTAGGACTTCCTGTGAGGGTTCAATGAAGACTGAACTGCATTTTCCTTTGACTCCAGTACCTATTGTTCAGAACCCGGTTGCTGACTAGAGTAATGATGAATTAAGTCTCATGTCCTTCTGATATTCAAACATTAGTTCCAGCTGTCATCACAGGGTCTAACCAGGAGGAGAGAAGAGGGTCCTCGGTCTGCCGCTCACTCCCTCATCCTCAGTCCTGAGTGATAGGCTCTGGCTCCACTGGCCATAATGACACAACAGCTTCTATCTCCCTTCAGAAAGCCTTCCTGTCTTTCCAGTCCTATGCCCTGCCTTTCTTCTGCTGTTCTGTGGTACTTTGTATGGCACAAAACACATACAGCATATACCTTTGGTCCATCACTAACCATTCATGCATTCACTTGACAATCATTGAGCTCTGCTGGGTGTCCATGCTAGGATCTCTGCTAGACACTAGACGCTGCGGGGAGACAATTACATCTCTGCATTCAGGAAGCTTAAATGTGGCAGGGGAGAAGTGGACCAACGCTTGGCAAAACAGGTCAAAGGCAAGTTCAGAAGCATGAGAAAAGTTTTTGAATCAGATTGGGTCACTGAACTGGCATGACACAAGGGTTTCCAGGAGGAGGTAACAGTTGAGTTGAACTCTAACAGGTCAGGATAACTAAGCTAATAGATGCTAATAGTTTGGAAGCAGAGGTGCAGAATTGCCCATGGAGAGGGAACAGCTGCTGCTCACACAAGTACAGGGTTCCTTTCCAAATACTGTGTTTTGCCAATTTGAAATACCGTGGGAACATTTCCTGCAGAGTTGTGAATGAATGTCCGCTCACTCCAGACAGGGCACCAACAACAGACCAAAGTATGATTCTACCAAAGTTCTACTTGGCAAACCGATGATTTTTATTTGGCTTACTTACAAAGCATGGGTGAGATCTCACTCACAGGAACATGGGTGACCCCAAAGCAACTACATCGCTGACAAATCTCACCTCAGCATAAATGAGGATGTCTCAGTATTTGCATAGATGGAACCCCCTTCAGGTAACCTTCTATACTTCATGCACTGTGTGACTTCCTGAGACCATGAGACCATGTGCAACTTGGGTAGAACTAGATATAGCTGGGAGGGAGGGGCAGGGGGGAGTGGAAGAGATCTCAGGTGAGGGTCTGATGACCCTCCTCCTCCTATGAGGCAATGTCGGGCCCCATCTTGAGGGTCTCTTACAAGTAGTCACAGCCGCTCTGATGAAGATGGTGACGCTGGGAAGAGTGGTTCTGCAGCACTCCACCACTTCCTTCTGCTCCTGCGTGCTTTTGTCCCCTCTTCCATGATGTTCCTTGAGCCTCGGAGGGGGTGATATAAGGTTATTTTCTTCTATTTATGGCTGAGCATTGTAGCCAGAGGCTGAAACAACAGTTAGTCTTCAGCAGCTTGGCTGAGCATAGTCTCTACAGTAACCAGTGTTTGTTGCAAAACCAAGCTCCCCTGACTAAGGCTGTGTGGAGGCTGAGTTCAGGGATCAGGGACAAAAGGTTGGGAGGAGCCAAGAGATCAAAGAAGATTCACAGAGCTGCTGGCAAATGAGACATGCTTTGTTTTCTGTGGGCAAGGGTACACAGGTCACTGGGTAGGCAACCAGTGGACAAGGGCATATGTGTAATCGGTCCTAAGGACTTTTTATAGGAAATCATACAATATAACTTCTTGCCAAAACTGGTTGTATAACAGATTACATCACTGTTACTTTGGGGGTCCTTGGATATCTGGTGTCAGCCATTTTGTGCTGATTCATAGCCCTCTGGCTGTTTATAGTTTGCCATTAAAAATTTTTATCTGATTGATTTATTATTATTTTATTTTGTATAAGTTTGCCTGCATGAACATAAGTGTATCTGTGTCATGCAAAGCCTTAGGAAGTCAGAAGAGGGTGTCAGATCCCCTGGAATTGGAGTTATAGATGGTTGTCAGCTGCCATGTGGGTGCTAGAAATCAAACTTGGGTTCTCTGGAAGACCAGCCAGTGTTCTTAACTGCTGAGCCATCACTCCAGCCTCTCGTTAGCCATTTTGACCCATGCCAGAAATCTATGTCATCACCATCCTGTCTAAACAGAAATAGCTCCTCATGGCCTTGATTCCCTACAAGCTGACAGCGGCAATAATTTATGGGTATAAACATAAATATTTAGAAGGCAACTTGACAGATACATCATATCCATTTAATAATAGCAATAGCTGTCCCCAGTAGGACCGATGACCTCCCCATCCATGGGTTTTTGACTGAGCTTACAGTACCATGTGAATTCCTTCCTGTTGAGTGGGCCTCAAATCCAATTAGAAAGTTGCAGGTTGCACTCATAACAGCCTGTGCTACTCTTGCACCAGCTGGCAGTTGTGCCTGACAATGTCAGTAGTACAACCTGCAGGATCCACAACCTATGATAATTGGTGGAAATTCTGCCCCCAGCAGCCTGCATGCTCTACAAAATCTATACAGGGAGGGGACTTCCAGCTCAGTCCCAGCTTGATTTCTTCATTCCCTGCAACCAAAGCGTGTGATGTCTTCAGCAATAGACACTTACCATCTAGTTCTGGTGGACAATCAAAAGTAATACAATAGTACTATTTGGGGGCCTCTCCAGCCAACAGCTTGTAGGGAGGTATCTCATCCCTGCCTGCCACTGAGATTTCCAATTAATAACCTATGACTTCTGGGAGCATCTTTTCCACCCACACAGGATACTTTTGCTCACTCTCTATTGTTTTAACATTGACAGATGCAGGCTGCTGTAGGATTTTTTCATTCACTTTGATGAGTATCATCATCTGTGCCTTAATCTAACTATAAAGGCCCAAGAATTTCACAGCTGTGCCTGGCCTTTGTACCCTTGGCGAATCGATTTCCCATCGTTGCTCCTTTATGTGCACCTGCATGTCTTTTGGATGATTTTCTAAATCTGAAAACACTCAGACGTTAGCATTATACCATTTACATAATGAAACCTTTTTATAGAGGGCGGTAGGATCTCTGAAGGCCCACCATCATCCATTTCATGCAAGTGCCACTTGGTGTCATGAGTCAGCAGCTAAGGCGATACCAAAGAAAGGCATTAAGGTCCAATAGAGCGTGACAAGATTTTTTTATTAAATATTTTATTTATTATTTCTATTGTACATGTATGAGTGTATTGCCTGCATGTATGTAAGTGCGCCCATGTTGTGCTATGCCTGCATATATCAGAAGAGGGTGTTGGATTCCCCTGGGACTGGAGTTACAGACGGTTGTTAGCTTCTACAGTATGAAAAGATTTTAATGGCTGTCTCAATTGTTTCCTTAAAAGAGCAGTGCTTGGTACAGTGACATAGATAGAAGGCACTACCTTAGCACTTCATAGTCTACAATCTTCATGAATTGTTAGATTTCCTCACCCTGGGTGTTTTCATGGGGTCTTCATGCACCAACCCTGCCTCCATAGCCTCCTTGGGACTGGGTCAAGCTGGTTGGTTTGGCCCAGAGCCAAGGGGGAGTGGGATGTCATCTTGCTGAGCCTCTTTTGACTTGATTAGTTCTGCACTGTAGCTACAGCCAGCCGATGCCTCTTCAGGGGCCACACCTGGTTGGTGAAAAGGCCCCTCACAAGGTGAGCAATCTCTAACCCCAGGGGAGACATATACACAACACACTCAGGAAAGAAAGTCGCCCACCCTGATGTCAAGCTTACACATTTTTACCTGAACTACTCTACCTCCATATCCATCTGCTGATGCCCATCACCCCTGATATTCTTGAGGGCCATGAGGAGTCAAGGCACACCTAGTTCTAGCATCCACCCAAGCCCAAATATTCTGCACATTAGTAGAGGACCAATAAATCTGCAATTCAGTGTGCAACCCTCTTCAGTCGCCCTGTATGGTCCTCTGAAGGCAACAGTGGCCATCCCTCTGTGACTCCTACCTCACAAGAGCTCCCCTCACTAGCAGCTGGCACAGCGGGTCTCACCAGCATCTCCCTGTCACACATCCCTGTGTAGAAGGCTTTAAAGCCTTCCGAAGGCTCTTGAGGATGGCATTGGCTTTCCATCATTTTTCCCCTAAGAATTCCAGCTCTACACAGACCTTGTCACGTTTGCTTCTGAGTGATTCAGACAGGTCCCCTTTCCTGCATTCCTTTATTTCTTATACCCTCTTTATTGCTTTAGCACTTTACATACTCAATTTACATGCCAGTTTGCATCATGCAGGCCCTCCAGAGCCTCTCTAATCGTGTAAAAATCATGTTTTACTATGAGACTCAGCAAAACCCCCAAACAAGTCCTGAGGTCCCTGCTGAATTAATTTGCTTCTTAACGGTCTGGTGAATGCAGCCCCACGCTGCCTGCTGAACTGGGCACCACCTCTCTCATGCTCACTTCCTTCACTGTCATGACTTTGTTTTCTCCCTCCTTATTGTCTGAGTCTTCCCACGGTCTCCAAGTGTTTGGACCCCAGAAGGGGATATTTAGCACAGATCTAATTTGTGCTCTTTCTCTTTA